GTCCCTTCCAAGCCCCACATCCTGTGATTCTATGATCTCCCTGAGTCAGTTTTCCCTCGGAAGCAGCCTGAGCAACCTTGTGTTGCTGTTGGGCACAAAGTTGAAGGTGTTTGCCCCTGGTAAATCAGTCTTGAAAGCAGCTTTTCCACAGAAGCCAAGTGGTGGCGTCGGGTGCATCTTCATCTTGTTGGTTTTTTTGAATCGTCTTGCTCTTCCCCATGCCTTCCTCCTGCGTGGTGACGCTGGCCTTGTTCTTGTCTCCTGCCAGACCCCTTCAACATGCACAGAGTGGAGAATCTGCCTGATTTATCTTTTCCTACTGACATGAAGAACGTGCCGCTGTTCATGGACCATGCGGATGCCTCCAGAGACATCCACGGTGAGTTCCTCCTCGGCGTTTGTCCCTGATGGGCAGGTTTTGGTGTTTTCTCTGTTGACTTTCATGGATTGAAAACTATTAAGCTGCAAAGTGCACAGACTGTGTAATCTGTTCACGTGGGGTTTTTAAAAAAACTTTGTGTGCCTAAAGCCATTCAAATAGCTACTTCCAGGAAGGGTTTTTTGGAAGTGCGGCAGAAGGAACTAGGACAACTAGACAAGTTGAAGCAGGAGTTACAGATGGCTCCTGTCTTCATGGCTAGAAACCAAGCACGCGTGAACTTTTCCCACAAAGTGCTCTGCAGTGCTCGGACTGTTGGGCTTCAAGCAGTTATGAACAGGAATTCATGGGAGCAGAAGCAGAAAGCAAAAGGGAAATCATTTGCCTGTGCTTGCTGTTTTATACACTAGATTGGCTACAGTAGACTAGATATTAGGAGAAATTTATTCAGTGAAAGGGTTGTCAGGTACTGGCACAGGCTGCCCGGGGAAGAGGTGGAGTCCCCATCCCGGGGGGGATTTAAAAGGTGGGTGGATGTGGTGCTCGGGGACATGGCAGGACGGGGTTAATGGTTGGACTTGACAATCTTAAAGGTCTTTTCCAACCTGAACAGTTCTCTGGTTCTGTTCTGTGATTCTGTACCTTGTTAAAAACCGATATCCGCATACCTAATTTACAAGTCGCTTTGGAAAGGTGAGATAATTGAATTTCCCACAGACTTTATCCTGTGAGCGGAACAGAATAGTTTATTTTCCAGGTGTTGTACAGACTTTATATTTTGGAAGGGTCGTTAGGGCAAGCGTGATGATTAACAAAAGGCTGCTTATTATTTCAGTAGCACCGCATGGGCCTATGATGGTACCTGAACAACCTTTCTTGGGGCCCCTGTATTCTGCTGCAGAGACTCTAGACCCATCGGCCTTCATTGGCCTGGATTCAGCCGCAGAGTTTCTGCAAGACAGAGCAGGTAAGGAGCAGACGTTTGGCTGCTACTGGGTTTGAAGGGCATGCAGCTGGAAAATCTTCATTTACTAGTCCTGAAGAGTCTTGGTGGGGCAGTTGATACCGTTGAGCTGTGATCGGTGGAGACCGTTCTTGGTTTAGTGCGAATGTCCCCAAGATGTTGGGAGATGACGGAATGGTTGAGGTTGGAAGGAGACCTCTGGAGGTCATCTTGTCCAACCCCCCTGCTCGAGCAGGGCCACCGACTGCCCAGAAGAGCTGGGGAAGGAGCCTGCTCTCCTCCCGTCCTGAGGTCAGTGCTGGCTATAACTCCTCTCTGGTGCGAGCTGTCACTAGCAATAATCACACGAGAACGTGATGTTCTGGTCCCATTCCCAAAGGCAGCTGAAAAGTTACCTGAGATTGAACTGGAAAAACAGCAGAGTCAGTACCTTTGACTGAAAAAAATAAACCAGCGCTGGCATCAGGACTGAACGTGTTTGTTTTCCGTAGTGCCTGAAGAACCTTGGATGGGAGCTCAGCATGACGTGAAGGGACCAGATGCCTCTTTCTTTGTTGAGCCACCAGGTAAAAGTAGTTTTGACTCGATCTGCAGCAGCCGTGTCTAGAAAGTTTCTGAACAGTAGAAGCAGAGCTTCTCTCCTTGTCTGCCTTTGCAAGGAACTCAAGGCACTAAGGGAGTGAAGTGGGACCTGACCAAGAAAAACATCGTTTCTGGTTCTCAGATCAATTTGGAATAGAAATGCACGTTGTAGAGAGGGGTTTTTAACACACTTTTTTTGGTTTAGCGCCGTAAGGGGTGGGGAGATCGCTGCCTTATATCAACTGTTTGCTTCTCACGTAGGGTGACAAGTTTAATAGGTGCAGTTTTAAGCCCAGCCCTCAGTAGATATTAGTGGCGTGCCCGTCTGAGGGCGTATTGTGCAGCAGAGCTTTAACCTGCTGAAAGCACGCCCCTTCCATGGTAGCAGCTGGAGGTATGTGCAAAAAAACAACCCCAGACGTTCAGCCGCGTGGATTCAAGACTGCGCCTTCGTTCTGTGCGTCTCCGTTACAGTGCAGGTACCTCGATTTCCAGCTGGGAGACGGGGTGCTAAAGCAATAAATAGGACGAATAAAATTTAGTTTTGCAAAGAAACTCTAAAGCTGGGACTTGCCTGCTGTCAAAGATTCTAGTCCTTGTGCATGCTGAGAGTCACATCTCCTGACCTGAGTGACCAGTCGGAGCGCTCGCGTTTGCTGCTTCTAAGGGCTGGTGCAGCTGAGGGCTCCGACAGGCAGAATTTTGGCTCACGCATAATCAAACTAAATTCTGTTTACAAACCTGTGTCTTCTGTCCAGTTGCCTTTAGATTCTGGTTATGGTTGAATCTCTGAAGCTCCCTTGGGACGCGGTTCCGTTGCGGCTGCACGTGTATTACAATATTAGATCTAGGATGGGATGTATTACTTTTTCTTTATTGGTTATTTTGGTGAACAAGCTAAGAAGAGAGTAGTTTAACACCGGTCCTAGGTAGAAAGCGTTTCTGGAGCCAGTGGCTCTACCGCAGGGCTCAGGGAGGAACCGGGCTGCTTCGTAACGGAGTGGTCCTCAGCTTTGTCACAGCAGTCGCTTCTCTCGAGGTACAAGTGTTTTCTGAGGTACTGCACAAATTAATTTTGCTGAAAATTGGCGATAGAGGCTGATTCTGTTTTGATCTGATCCGAGGGGGATGCTGAAGCGTGGGGGAGCTCACTCATCAGGGTTGTGCTGCCGGTGGCGCCTCGAGAGGGTGATTCACATCCTGGCAACTCCCAGGGAGAAAAAGCTCTTTGCTAAGATCTTCCCGAGTGCTTAATCCAGCTTGGGTTTGTGTGCCCAGTGCCCCCCACTTAATGCTTAACCCAACTTGGGTTTGTGTGCCCAGTGCCCCCCACCGTGAGTGAAGCAATAAAGGCGAACTTCC